TGAGTAACAGTATATCATGTGACCGGTAGAAGCTGCTTCCTTTTAGACTCTTTCTCTCTCTAACTGAAACTCCATTTGGCAATATCAGAGAAGAGGCAGTTTGCTCGAAAATGCCATTTGATTGAAGGGCACATTCTGGTGGGTTGAGTCCCAAGCAAGGCTTCTTATGCCACTCACGGACTCGAGTCGTTAGAGCTCTCTGCCAGAGTTCCTGAGCCTGGCCACTCTGGAGTTTTTAATGTTCCTGCTTGCCTTGGGGTGGCCTCTCTTCTGATGCATTCTGCGAAATGCATAACCATTAGAGAAGGTGCCCTTCAGGAAGAGGAGGTGCCCGCCGGGAAAAGAGGGAGGGAGGTGCCCGTCGGGGAGGGAGGGAGGTGCCTGGCAGGGAGAGAGGAAGACTTGATGGAAGAACTGACCTCATTGTCTCCCTTCTCCATTTACTAATCCTCACTTTCTGCCTCCCCAGAAGCCCCGGATGACGGCGTGTTCCAGAGCGACTCCCCCATCATACTGAACGGTAAGGAGGGCGTCCGACACGAGTCCGACCAGGACCTGACCATGCGCGTCCACCAGCTCAACATCGGGGACACGGTGGAAATCACAGTCCGGAGCACGGAGAAGATCATCGAAGGGGAACTGACCCCCGAGGGCTCCCCATCCAAATCCCCCAACAAAAAGAAGAAGAAATTCCGCACCCCGTCCTTCCTGAAGAAGAACAAAAAGAAGGAAAAACTGGAGGCGTAACCCGTCGCCGACAACGGAGGGGGTGCGTCGCAGCGGGAACCGTAGGCGTCGCCTGTTTTGTGCCGGATGGACGTTGCGTGGTCCTGAGTTGCAGCGCGTTTCCTGTTTTCCAACTTTTTCTTCTGCGACAACTTTTCGGGGCGCACCAGAGGAAGTCGATCCTTCAGCCTTATCCCCATGCTTCTTCACCACCCAGTTCTGCCTAGAAGACATTCAGCCCCATGCCATAGTAACCCCTCCCCCCCTCTCCCTGGACTGATAGCAGAACCAGCTCCGTACACTCCGCTACAAGAAAGAGACCCGAAAAATGTTTTTTGTTTTTAAACCGGGCTTCAACCTATTTTCTTACAAGTTACGTGACTGCGAGCGCATCCAATGTGCTCATGATATATGCTCAGCTATGATTTTTATTTGTGTCTGGTCTGTTTTTTAATTTGGGGAGGTTTTAGTTTTTTTGCTTTTTTGTTTTTATTATTCGCATAAACTGGAAAGAAAAAAAAAAGTATTTTATGATTGTATTTTCGGAGTACAGAGAGGGGCCTAGATATATACTGTCTATTATGCTGCACCCGGGAAATTTAGAATGTGATGTTACAGTTGCGTTAAGCATTCTTGCATTTAAAAAAAAAAGTGGGAAAATATAAATATTTTTTATTGTATAAAAGGAAAAACAAATAAAAATGTAAGACGGAGAGTCGCAGAGAATTCTAGTTTAAAAAAAGGAAATGAAATAATTTTTATATTATTTTTGCACTTGACGTTCGGTTTCTCGAGTGTGCCGCAGACTTTGGTAATAAAATGTAAAGATGGCGTTGGGTGGGGGAGGGGAGAGGATTGAGACTCTTATTTTTATTAGGAATAAAGTAATTTCTAGAAAGAGATTTTTTTTTTTTAAATGGAATTTGATATTTTAGTATACGGTGGTTATGAATTTCAGAGTTTCCAGGTATGTGACGGGGGAGGGTTCTGTTGGTGTGCGCAGTGATGGATTGTACTGTTATCAGGAGGTAGTTGCGGGAAGTAAAAATGGAGGCCATACCATTCGTCAATAGGAGGCTGCACTCTTTTGTCTCTGCTGGCGCGTTTTACCGCGTGTCTAGGACTTTGTTGTATATTAACTCTACAACTGGGCCCCAGCAGTGGTAAAACGCGTTGGGGAAGGGGAGCGTCTCTGACACTTGTTCAGTATAACTGGTTGGGTTTATGTAGCTGTAGATAGGCAGAGCCAGCTGTCAATCACGCAGATGGGTGGATCTCGACAGCATTGTCGGGATCCGTCCCGGCTGCAGCAGTCTCAGTATACCGCGAGCTGTAGCTCTCTATATACTGAGCTTTGGGTGACGGGAGGAAGTTAGTTTATGTCCTTCCGTGACCCTGAGGAGAACTATGAGGAACAACACTGACCCCATAGTTCTCCTTTAACATACCGCAGCAGACGGGACGAGGTCCCTGAAAGCATGGCCTCCATTTTTACTTCCTGTTTAGAACGTGGGACTTTTTTATTTTTGTTTTTTCCGCTAGCAAAGTAGAAGGTTTGGTGAGCGAGGAATTTTAGTTTGAAGGAATATTGAAAGGGAGGTTGAGAGGTCAGACGAATGCCGGATTAAATGATCCGAATTTTTTAATAATGCCAAAGATGCCCAAATGTATTGTACACACACACACACGGGGCGGGGTTCTGCCGAAGAACTTCACATCCATATCCTTTTTTTTGTTTTTTTATTCTAACCCCCAATTTTTGTAATTTTGGTGCGTTTTATAGTTCTGTTCACGTCGCCGGCTTCCATTTGTAATTTTGTTTTGATTCAACTGTGAATAGCGTCGGTGTATTCTTCTC